TTTTTTTGTCTGATTTAGACAGGGGGAACAGATTACAGCAGGTTTTGTTTCAGCCCATATTGCCAATTGTGGCAATATGGGATGAAATAAAACGGCTGATGTTAGAACACAAACTGTTTATTAAGGATAGTACAACAGTGATAAATTGTAAGTTAATATAAAACACAAATATAGATTTAAGTACTAAATTTCAACCAGGAAAAAATGATTTCCTTCTGCATATAGTCTTTAATGATTACACGTGCACTCCATTTTCTATTTCATTTTTATTACAAGCATATGGTTTACAACAGTTTTCAATGGGATGAGAACATTTGGACACTGTGAAACAATGAGAGATTTTTTAAATGAACGTGTGGAAAAGAACAGGGATCTGTTTGCTTTCAGAGGGAGGAGTAGACACTGCTGTCAGCAACCAGTTTTCAAGCAAACGTTTGTGTTTTAATATTAGTTTTAGATCAATATCACTGGCGATGTTCTGCTATAACATGTGAAGTAAAGAATAAAACAGTAAAGCTCAACTTTCATACTCGTAAAACCTTTCAAATTTCAAGTTCTGCACGTTGGAATTGAGGCGGAGTTAAGTCGGGTTGGTTGTCCTACTCCGTGCGCGCTCCCGACGAGGGGATACAAATTTTCCCAGGGATAACTAACTTGGCACGACACCGGTAGCTTCTAGCTTCGTCGCAGCATGTTGCTTTTGTAGGTGTTTCAACAGATTACAGTTGCTGTTCTGGGCTGTAGATAGAATCTTTGATCCAAGGCACAAATTGTAAATTAATGAGAATATCTCCAAGTGAAGAAACTCGACTTGGGCTCTGCAGCAGCCGCCATGATGACTAGTGTTGGTAAACACAAACNAAGTGAAGAAACTCGACTTGGGCTCTGCAGCAGCCGCCATGATGACTAGTGTTGGTAAACACAAACACGCCCTCAGCATGTTTCCTTCCTGTCTCCCTCACTCTAACACAGAAAGACAATACTTCACTGCAGCTTTTAAGTCTCTAGCTGATCCCAAGACTATAAAATAAAGCAGTAACGCATCATGTAGTAATGTCAATGGAGTTACTGAATTTAAAAACTAACACGTTAGCGTACTAGTTAGTGAAAAAAATACCGCCGTTACAGTAACTTACAAAGTAATGCGTTAGTCCCAACACTGATCATACATGTATTATCCATCACTTGTTGCAAATGAACGCCTGTTGGCCATCATAAACTACTGACTTTGTACAGTAGAACCTAATGCAGATTGAGCAACAAAGGGAGTATTCTTCGTTTAAGAATAAAGATGGAGTTGATCTATCTTGTATGTAAATTACTGGGTGGTTGAAATAGCACTGAAATGAACAAATTCTTTGTAATTGTTCTGACAACCATTTCATAGCACGTTGCAAGGAATGTTGATCTGATACAGCATCAGCTTAAATACTTCATTCATCACAATAACTTTGTGAAGCAATGCTAAGTACCTGGAATATTTTGGGGGTTTTTGAAATCACACTTCATCATTTCATTTTTAAAACAGTGCTCTGTGTATAAATTTTTCAAAATCAAAAATGTTGCACACAAGGGGTATCAGCAGTCATATGATTCTTTCCTCTCATAGAGTTCCTCTTTGTCTAGGAGTCAGCTTTTCCTTCCCTTGGCTTTCGTACAATAAAACACAAAGTATAGTGACCCACATATTGAAAGAGTTGCTTTTCCCTAACTCATGAATAAGACAAAGAGAGAAAGACAAGAGGGATGCAATGAGACATGGATTGAGGATTGGAGAACTTCAAGGAATAGGCATACCCACAGTTCATGTATAAAAACACAGTGTGGCGTGTACCAACTAATGAATATGCAATATATAGAACTGATTTCCAGAGAAAAAGTATGAAGCACAAAAATATGTGTGTTTATAACAGGTAAAATGCCTTCTAAGACTTAGCATAAAAAAGATCAAAGTGAATTCATCAATCATGACCATCAATTACAAAGAGGCTGCATGTGCTTGCTGTTCATTAAAAGTGCTATGTAGCATCTAACTTTGTCTTTTTATTTTATTTCCCATGCTAAAAAAAACTAATATCTTAAAGTGAATTATTAATTTGACCAAAAAATAGACTTGAATGATATTTTCTTTAAATCAACGATCAAATTCATTTACATTCATATATTTATGAATGTAAATATAAATTCATATATTTTCTTACGATGTAAAAGTCAGAACACATCACAGCCTGCTGGGCTGGATGGGATCGCTGCAATCTTTTTCCTTCCTCTTAATTCCTCTATGTTCGCATGATTTATGGCTCTGCTCAGGACTTTAAAATCAGTCTGATGTTCTAGTCTTACACTCAATTTTATATAACAACTTTGATACTGAAAATACTTTGAACATTTATATATATATATATATATTTTTTTTTTTAAGTTTGTAGCTCAAATGCCAAATATGATCATATTATGAAGACAGAAAACCTAGTGTTTTAACAGTCAATGATCCTTTCAAGCGGTTTGTTTTTAAGAGAATTTTAAAACATATTTTTCATACTCTCAAAACCGGAAGTACACTTCATTATATAAAGGCATTTGTAATGTTGAAATCTGTCACTGTCTGTTTAAAAAAGAACAGATGGTTTTCTTTACAAAACAGCTCCTTTTCAGTGGGGTTATGTAAAACAGATGTGCAGCGTCTAACTGTTGATACAAATACGGGATAGGTTAAGATGTTTTATAACAAGGATTTATGAGGATATGAAAAAAATGTGTGAATTCTTTAGGTGTAAACAGGTGCAAAGGACAGATATCTATGGAGGACGTTGGGTGCAAACAACATGAAAATACATAAATTCACAGAAAATTCAAAAAGACCTGCAATCACAAAAATGAGACCAGTAAACACAAAACACATGGCAAGGAAAGATTATCAACTACCACACCAGACAAGACCGCAGGTGCAGACTGTGCAAAGAGGCCCCTGAAACAATCTAGTACATAACTGCATGGTGTAAGATGCTAGCAGGGAAAGCTTACATGGAGCACCATAACCAAGTGGCTAAAATAATGTACAGGAACATCTGTGCAGAGTATGTCCTGGAAACCCCAAGGTCAAGGAAAACACCTCCAAAGATGGTAGAGAATGACCGAGCCAAGATCCTGTGGGACTTCCGGATACAGACGGACCGAATGGTAATGGCAAACCAACCGGACATTGTGGTTGTGGACAAAAAGCAAGAAAGGCATTGTGGTTGACGTAGCAATACCAATTGACTGCAACATCAGGAAAAAGGAACATGAGAAACTAGAGAAATACCAGGTGCTCAGGGGGAGCTGGAGAAAACCTGAAAGGTCAAGGCATCAGTGGTACCCACGTTCATTGGGGCACTCGGGGCAGTGACCCCCAAAATTGAGGAGTGGTTACAGTAGATCCCTGGAAATACATCAGATGTCTCGGTCCAGAAAAGTTGTGGAACAGTAAAGATACTGCGCAGAACCCTCAAGATCCCAGGCCTCTGGTAGAGGAAATGCAGAACCCTGTGCATGCGTGGGTTCTCTCCGGGTACTCAAGCTTCCTCTCACAGTCCAAAAACATGACTGTTAGGTTAATTGTCTTCTCTAAGTTCTCCTTAGGTGTGAGTGTGTGCATGAATGGCTGTTTGTCCTGTTGTCTCTGTGTTGCCCTGCGATGGACTGGCGACCTGTCCAGGGTGTACCCCGCCTCTCGCCCATAGAAAACTGGACATAGATACCAGCACCCCTCATAACCCCACTTGGGATAAAGCGTGTCAAAAAATGGATGCATGGATATATATATATATATATATATATATATATATATATATATATACCCCATTATCTACCCTAGGACACTCAGCTTGTCTCCAAATCAGAACTTCTTTATTAAACTTTGATAAAATTAAACGAAAGTTCAAGTCTTGTATTGGCAGGCAGGGGTGTTGAGGTTACTTTTGATTTAGACTTTTACACCTTTTGGCAGCAAATCCATCATAAAATCCATTGCACTTTTCATTTGAGTGAGGCAAAATGAGTGAATTTAAAACTGTTGTTGCATACTATATTTTATTTGTTCCTTTGTATACAATGCAGGCACCAGATGTCAGAAAAGCTGTTTGTCTGTTGGTCAGGTGGGTTTCTGTAGCTGCTGTCTGTTTACTGATGATTTAGGGGAAAATCTAGGTACTGTAGCCAAGACTGAACAGGTGGATGAGGCTTAGAAGCAAACACATAAAGAGGCTGCAGAAACATGCTTAGAAAGAAAGATAGACTTTAAGCATTTCAAATATCTCTCAAAAACAAGACATCTTTGCCTTTGATAGTTTTCTGTTTTATAGACTATTGTATAGTCAGAAGCAACAGAACAGACAAGTTGTATTGATTCTTTAAAGTAATCATTGCTTATTTTTTCTTACTATAGATCTTCCATCACATTGTAAAATACATTCAAAAAGAGCAATGGCATACACAGCTCTATTTTATGACAGTTATAAAACTGCAATAAACTGTGCTTGTTGGCAAAGACTTAAAATATTTCTTTGCACTTCAAAGTCACAGTCCCACCAGGTTGTTTTTTCTGCATCCAGGAATCTTTGTTTCCCATCATTATTCCCTTGCCTTTTCTTTTATCTTTCCCCAGAATCTTTGCCTCGGTGTCTTTCTCTTCCATGTTGTTCATTACTGTGTACGTATGCCATGTAATGCTCACAACAAGAGAATAATCTTATTCAGAAAATATTTATAGATGTAAACCCGGTGTAAATCTACAACGGTGGGCAACAAGGACTGCATGAGGTGAGAAGCAAAAAATGTGGGGCATACAGTGTTGAGACTGACAGTGTTGTGTGCCTATGTCTGAACAAGAGAGGGAGGATATGCAGTGTGGAGAATTCATGTGCTGGAAGGAGATTTAAGTGGAGAGAGAGCGAGTAGAGCAGCAGAGAAGGGACTGGAGCGAGAGTGAAAGCAGAAGACTGAGAGAGAAACAGACAAAAGGAAGAGAGAAGCAGAGAGCATCAGAGACGAGTCTGCTTCCAGCACCCGCCTGTCGGATCTCCCTAAACAGAGCTTTAGGGCTGCTGTTGCTGACTGGCGAGAGGATCCTCCCGGAGCACACACCAGAGTTCCAGCACTGTCACACACGAATGAAGGTCTGACCAGTTTCACTCTGGACCTGACACAACACCCATGAAACCCTGCCAACACTGGCATATCTTCTCATTAAGGTAAGGAAACAAAGACATTTACTGAATCTAATTGTTGTATAAACTGCATTAGACTCATTCATCATGCAATTATATAATATTATAAACTGCACCAAAACCAAAGAGATATTTGCCAATTAAAAACAAAAGAGATGTTTAACTAAGCATACTTTGTGAACTTAGGGTTGAAATGAGGCAGCTCAGCATCGGTCATGCTGTCACCGTTTCTGATGTTGATTGATGAGCACATATATCAAGCAATGACCCAAGGGTTACATCCTCCTAGTTACTCTGCTTGTACAGTTGATGCAAATGAGATCTCTGGCTGCATGCCTTGTCTCTCCTGTGTGACTTAGGCAAGCTCTATGTTCGATTGAGATGTTTTAAATGTGTAGGTCCTGGTTACAGCATACTACTCATATATTCAATATAGGTCACCTGGGCCAGATCTCAATTTTAATTGTTGTCGATGAGAAATTGATTGAGTTTTAGCTGTGTCTTGTGGAGTGTGATAGCTCTAATAGATTTGCTATAAAAATCTATAGAAGTTTAAGTTACCTTAATGAAAAGGTAGCATGGTGCAGTCCTGTTATTGCTCTTGTGGTACATTTTCAATGAGTATGTTGCAAATGACTTTTCTACTGCGTAAATAGACCCCCCAAAGCAGGTTACCTAAATATACATGTCTCTGTAATGTGAGCTTTCACTGACAGAAACTAACCCTGGTGCAGCTTCTCTCTTTACTTTATGCATGGATTTGCTTTTACAGTTAAACCTAAAGAAATTACAAACACGAAAGCAAAAGGCAGACTGTTTTTAAACTCTAGGGTTTTAGATAATGTATACGGCACATCTCTATTTAGGGTGTTGTTCCATTTCTTAGGCACTTGCTCACTTTAGAGCTCTTTTTTTTAACACAGACTTGGAATATTATTTCAGTCTGACAAAGACCAAATCATTTTTACCTGAAAACTCCAGAAATGGTAAAAGTACATCAAGTTCTTTTGTTAGTATTCTTGTTCACTTTTTAAAAAAATCTGCCATGATTGATACACTGCATGAAGAATAATGTGTGAAAGGACTCCTCACAAATTTGATTCAACTTTCTAGAATTTCTGCTAAACAGAATTGAAAAGACGTCAGTAAATTAAAATGCAACTTTCAAGCCTTTTTGCACTCACTTTTTTAGTAAAAAAAAGGGTTTTATGTTGAATCCTCATGTGTTTTAAGCTCTCACTTATTAGCAATTCAACTGCTTGGGTTGGTTTTATTTTAGAAGTAAGAGCAATGTGTGATTATTGGAGAAGATAAACTTATTTATGCTGCCTGAGAGGTAATGGTTTTTAAAAGGATGTAAAGCACACGTCGTGTAAGGTTTGGCAGAACAGATATCTCAATATCTTCTGATGTTTGATATTCTGCATGACCCTGCCAGCCGCAATAATAATTAGACAGCCGTCTCTAATATCCAACATTAGAATACTGAGCTTATCACTTGCCTGCTGTCATTATTGCTGCGGGAAATTTGTAATACCCACTGCTCCACGGCAAATTTATTTTAGAGTCACGTGATGGTCAGGGCCAGAGTGGGAGTTCAGCAGAGAAACTGGATCTTAAAGCAAGGGACAAAGATACTCTTGTAACATTCTTTTTTTTTTTTCTTTTAACAAAAATTTAGAGAATGTAGAAAAATAGTACCGTTCCGGAAGTTAATGCTCCTGCAGTAGTTTTTAATTTTCTTTGAATACCACATTCATTTTCATTGGATGAAAATCCTAATTCAAACTAAAAAAGTTAGAAATAGATGTCATTTTAAATTAAGGTTGCATGATTTATCGCAAATATATAACCATCCTGATGCCATTTATCAATTTATCATCTTCACCTTTATTTGAGAGTAATTCCTCTAATCGGTTAGCTAGAAGAAGCCTCCTATATGTTTCCCTTGCTTTGAAAAAAAACTCAGATTTGTTGGTATTGAAGCGTTTCTGTTGGGGAAACTATATTTGGAGGAAACTAGGGGATCAACACTCCAGTCTGCCGGTAAGGATGAAAACTAAGACAGCAAAAGGTAATGTTCTATATAACAAGAGCATGTCATTTAAAAATAGTATCTAATTATACATGGTGTTTATTCAGCATTTTACAGATATCTTTATTATAACTGTATTTATTATGATGATTTGAACTAGAAGGAATTCATTTTTTATCACTATTTGAAATACATTTGTTTCTGTAAGAGGTATAACACATTTTCTTTAAATGTTTATCAAAGGATGACACCTAGGCCAACACTTACTTATACGTACTATAATAGATGTAAGAATTTGTTACTTTTTTTTAAAGTTGTCACCTTATAAAGCATTGTTCACAGATTGTAGCCTGGGAAACAGTGAATATTTTTTAAAAATAAATATTATTTCACCTACAGAGATAGAAGAGAAAAAAAAATACAAAGAAAGAAATAAAGAGATAAAGCACAACATGTGCATGTGAAGTGGACCCATTTTGGTAAATTGTGATTTAGCTTTTCTGACATCATTTAGTTTTTGACTGTATGTATCTGTGTGTGGCATGACATGGCATGATGCAAGTGTCCCAGTGCATGCCTCTGTCTAATAAAGTAGGCTCAGGCATTTGTCTTTTTATAAATAACACATGACATAACCCATGAAGAGACACTCTTTAACACTGTAGAGCCAGGTTCTTACCAGTATAAGGAAAGGCCTGAACCCACAATTAATCAGGTTTATGGAACAGCTGAAGGAGAAGTCCCTTCTGAATTAGAAAAGGTGATGTTTTATTGGCTGCAGTCCACTGGGTGAGCAGGATTCTGCTGCCTGCTAGATGGATTACATGTACTCATTTTTTCTCAGACAATATTTCTTTGATTTCAATCCTTTTTTTTACTTTTTTTGCTGCTGAAAAAAGCATTTCCTTTTAAAGGGTTAACACTGTATTATATAAAAACAACAACAATACAGCTCTAATTTATTTTTGCCGTACAATACTTTAACTTCTCATTGAACATCAGTTTAAGTGGAAGAGGCCACTAACATAGTGTAGGAGTGAAGATTAAAGGGAGGTTTATCATCATTCCCTAGTAGGTACCTATTATTGGATGTATTTGCTTCACCTATATTCAGCGTTATGCAGACCTTTATATCAGCTTATATGTAAACCACCTTTTTCTCACAGTTTCAATGATTCATTTACATGAAATGTTTGATATCTGAATGATGCCTTTTATTAAAGAAAGGCTTCCAATTGAAAAAAAGGCTTTAAAGACTAAACAAATTCGAGTATTTACTGAGATTCTAAAGTATTGATATAAACTCACATTATTTTGTCCTTTCAGTTTAGAATAATAAAAAAAAATGGTGAATTCTTTTACAAAAAAAATCTAAATAATATTAATCCCTGAGGGTCCCTGGTATGAAGTTCCAGTCCAAGTCTACAATTTTGCCTAAGAGATAAAAAGTTAAGAGTAAAATAATGCAAACAGCTCAGCAGGCAGACTTTGTATGCAGGCAAGATTATTTTCTCTTATTCACTTTTGATGTCCATTTACATATTAGAGTGTGTCTACTTAATGTATTGTAATTGTTTTATTGTTAATGTATGTACGTTCTTTTACTCTTATTTTTTTAAGGGTAACCTTTCTCATCTGTCTGTAGAGTCAACTTGGAAAATAGTCTAGTGGCTAACTTTGGCATATTGACAGAGAGACTATTTATATCTACTGTCCTGGAAGTAAATCTAAATCTAAAAGCTATACTGTATATAACAGCCTATGCTGTCAATTTACGTAATTTTGGCTCCAGATATAAACTAATCCTCTATCCATTTAAATATTATTAAAGATTTAATTTTCTTCAGAAACTGAACTAAGTGAAACACGTTATGTAGATTAAGTATACATCGACTGATGTTTTCTAGGCTCCAATTCAGTTATTTTTAATGACTTTCCACTGAGAGTTCAAAGAAACTGTCATTTAAGAATAGAATATTATACCAGACCAAGATAAAAATGTAATTAAAAAAATTTACATTAGAAAATTTCTTGAAAACATTCTATAGGTTATTATTTTCAAAAGGTATTTTATTTTATTTTTTCATACAAATGACCTTTATAGAGAAATATATTCTTTATTAAACATGACTCTATGTTAACTTTTAGAATGAGGTATTGGTTCCAGTACAGATCAGATGGCACCATAATCATCTTAAAGGTGTGTTAAGAAAGTAGTTTGAGTTTATTTGAGCATGGTGCAGTTAAAATCTGAGGATGGGTATTCCTTCTGTCCTTTGACTTGGACAAGGTCAGGAATGATTCTGATAACAGGCTGTTGCATTTAAACAATTTCAGAGGGGCCAAAACTGTTCTAAGAATTTTTTTCCTAAACAATTTTATCACCATTTGCAGGCTGGACTGTTCATGTAGAACAGAATCAATGCATGGCTTTATGTCGTTCATCCAATTCTGACCCTATCATCTGAATGCTGCATGGTCTGATCTATCACTGTTGTTGAGATTGTTCAATTATAGACTCTGATTTTTATTTACATGTCTATTAAAAGCCACAAGTTATTAAGCACTCTGTGCTGTAAATAAATACGGAGTTTGGTTGATAAAATTTGTAACATTTTAAACTTGACATAGAACATACATTTTTTTTGTATTTCTTAAAATGTACATTTAGAAGCAGTTAATTGTTGCACAACTTTTTTACCAGGCAATATTTTTTTGCTTTGTTTTGATCAAATAAAAAACTTTCACATAAATAAAAGATGAAAAAAAAGATAATAAATTGTTTAAATTAAACATACAGTTTCAATTTTATTAAGTCTAAAGTTTTTCGTAACCATGAGCCTCCCGCCCAACAGGCACACAATGGTGTTTTTCCAACCAAAGATGGCATTGTGCCTCTACCAAAGTTTTTTTCAGTCTTTGATTTTGTCTCCATAATCAGAAAAACTCGAGGACCCTTAGCAAAGAAAGCCCGTACTGGTGTTTAACA